CAGGCAATCCACTCACCTCAGCCTCCCAAAGGTGCGGGATTACAGGCTGAGCCACCGAGGTATCTTTTTTATAGAGTGATTTGAGTTCTCAGGGTATATTCCCAGAAGGGGGATTGCAGGGTCATATGGAAGGTTGATTTTCAGAGCTTTTAGGAATCACCACACTGATTTTCACAGAGGCTGCACTTGGTTACACTCCCACCAACAGTGTAGAAGTGTTCCCTTTTCACCACATCCTCTCCAGTAGCTGTTATTTTTTGCGTTATTGATAATGGCCATTCTGACTGGAGTTAGATGGTATCTCAGTATAGTTTTAATTTGCATCTCCTTGATGACTAGTGAGGTTGGCCGCTTGTATGTCTTCTTTTGAGAAGTGTCTGTTCATCTTTTGACCACTTTGTAATGGGGTTGTTTTTTTCTTTTCAGCATGTTTGAGTTCCTTGTAGATCCTAGATGTTAGGCCTTTGTCAGACATGGAGTTGGCAAATACTTTTTCCCAGTCTGTGGGCTGTCTCTCTGCTCTCTTGATGGTTTCTTTGGCTTTGAGAAGTTTGTCAGTTTAATGAGGTCCCACTTGTCTATCTTATCTCTTATGGCCTGTGGGTTTTGGGTTTTGCTCAGGAATTGGATGCTAGTTCCAACTTCCATAAGGGTGTGTCCCGCATTTTTTAAGGTTCTTATAGCTTGAGGTTTTACATTTAGGTCTCTGATCCATTTAGAGTTAATTTTTGTATATGGGGATAATCTTCTGCATGTGGTCAGCCAGTTTTCCCAGCACCATTTACTGAATAGGTTCTCCTCTCCCCAGTGGTGGATGGTGGAGGCTGTTGTTGAAGATGAGTTGGTTGAGAAATTGAGGTTTTCATTTAATTACCTACTCCCTCTGAATATCCTTTCTTTCAATTGCCCTAACATTAGTAAAATTTCACAATTTGAGTTATAAAAAAAAGATAAGAGAATTGGAGGCCTTACCTGTCCAATAATAAGAGGAACCACAACAGTCATAAAAAGCTGGGAAAATATAGATGTAAAAGGCACAGAAGAGGATGAACCAAGCTGTAAAATAAGAAAATAGAAGTTAAAATGACTTTGAATCAATTATCAAATCTTGGTATTCATTAAATAATGTAGTAAGTGAATTCTCTCATTATCAAAATATGGTACCTATCTACAAACAAAATGCAAGTGAAGATACCTATAATTTTCTAAATTCAACACAAAAACTGGTTTTTGTTTTTTGTTTTTGAGTTGGAGACTCACTCTTGTTGCCCAGGCTGGAGCACCGTGAGTGACATGCTTGTGGCCACTGCAGCCTCAACCTGCTGTTCTTAGGCAACCCTTCCGCCTCAGCCTTCCAAGTAGCTGGAACTACAGACACACGCTACTGCGCCCAGCTAGTTTTCTTTTTTGTGTGTGATTTGTTGTAGGGACGAGACCTCAACAAGTTGCCCAGGCTGGTGTTGAACTCCTGGGCTCAGGCAATCCTCTTGCCTAGGTCTCCCAAAGTGCTGGGATTACAGGCTGAGCCACCACACCTGGCCACAAAAACTGTAAGTAGTTTAATAGAAAATTTTGACTGGGAGACTAAGATTCAGTAAAAATGGTTGATTTGTAATCAATTTAAGTTGCTTATTAAATACATTTCTCAGTAATAAAGTTAGTCTGTGTTCATACCATTTGTAACAATGTAGCATAATATTTCATCTACAATCATAGTTTATGTGATTTTTAATTTATCTGTCTGTAGCTACCTAAGATACACAAATATGTCTCATTCTCTTATCAACATATTTTTTATTGGGAGACTGAGTTAAGGAAAAATGATAATTATTGATTTGTCATCAATTTTTAAGTTACTTATTAAATACATCCCTCAATAATACAATTATTCTGTATTCATACTGTCTGTAACAATGTTGCACAATGTTCCATTCTGCAATCATAGTTTACGTGATTTTTATTTCACCTGTCTGCAAATACAAATGTGTCTCATTCTCTTATCAAGATATTTTTATTTATGCAAATAGTTTCTAACTTTCCTACTCCTTCAAAACAAAGACAATGAACCTCAGAGCCTTTAGAGTTTATTCTTACACAAGGTCTAGCAAATGAAAAACCCTGAAACATAATTTATTTTCTACTTAAAATTTCAATATACCTCTCCTAAATTTGCATGCCCTAGCATTGTTCATAATTCCTATTTTTCTCCTTCCTCATTTTTTTATTCTTTCCTTGCTAACAATTGCAATCTCAGTTTCATAAAGATTTGATTCCGTGTACCACGAGAGAATTTATCCATGGGCACAGTCACACTCACATTATCCTCCATCACCAAGAGACTACCTAAGTCTTCCTATGAACTTTCTAACATTTTTTAAAACCTCCTTATGGTTTTCAAACCTCTCTGGAAAAACCACAGCCTGTTCCATAGATGTTTCTCTCATGAGTCCCTTTAGCCACTAGACCAAGTCATCGATAATACCCTTCCTGGCCCGTGGCCCCCTTCCCCGGCAGACCAAAACTATTTTCATATTTACCTAAGTTTAGTTAAACTTAGAAAATCTTTTGGGAAATAATTTCTGTGAAAGTACATGGCAATGACTGAGGGCACAGAATGTCAAATAAAACAAATCAAGTATTTAAATAAATGAAGTCAATAGCTCTGAATGATGTGATGTGGTATTAGTATTTTCACTGATTTCTGATTTTTACATGAATGCTTGACCAAACCATTTCTCCACTCTGGTGTATTTTATAAAATTCTATCCCTTATTTCCAGCCCTAATCCACATGTACTCAAAATGCCAAGAATGTGTGTCTTGTCCATCAGTGGTTCTGAGTTCATTTAGTACCCGGGTTAACACTGACCATTGGCTGTTAATTTAACCCATGTAAATTGGTCGCATCGAGCCCTTTTCCTCCTCAGTCAATATAAACTAAAGAAACAGAGTTTGGCAGAAAAAATGAAACTTGTGAAGAACAGACAGGATTTCCTGGTGTGTTAAATGTTACATGGCTGTTAGATGCTTTTTTAAATGTAAAACCAAAATATTAAAAGCTAATAAATACAACTTGTTTTACAGCAACTATGTATTTGAAACACAGAGTGTTTACAAATATATTCTTGCTGGTCGCGGTGGCTTATGCCTATAATTCTAGCACTTTGGGAGGCCAAGATGAGAGGACTGCCTGAGCCCAAGGATTTGAGACCAACCTGGATAACTTGGCGAGACCTTATCTCTACAATAAATCAAAAAAATTAGCTGGGTGTGGTGGTACGTGCCTGTAATTCCAGCTACTTGGAAGGCTGAGGCAGAAGGATCGCCTGAGCCCAGTAGGTCTAAGCTGCGGTGGCAGTGAGCGTGCCACTGCCCTCCAGCCTAGGCAACAGAGTGAGACTCTGACTCAAACAACAACAACAGAAAACAAACAAACAACAAAAAAATCCAAATATATTCTCTCCACAAATATTAACCCTAAGGATGTTCCCGGGGCAAGGATTAAAATAAAGAAAAAAAATATATTTTACAGAGAAATTGAGGCACTGGATAAATAGGAAAAGAAAGTTTAAAGAACAAAGTTTTCCAGTTCAGAAAGGCCCAGTTCAGTGCTCTATTCATAAGGTTTATAGTATTTGGAGAGAGGTAGCAGGATTCAGAGTTATAATCCTCATGTTAAAGGTGATAATTCCTGCTGGAATCTCATGAGTGATCTCATAGAACCCTGGCTCCTCTTCTATCTCAATTTTATTCTGTATTTTCAAATCTTTTAAATGGATAGCCACATCAACTTAGCTTTCCTCTTTAATCCTGGAGAAATAAACTTTGGCTTTTGGAAACATTATGCATTTTAAGTTCTCCATCCTTTGCATAATAGACCATTGGCACATTCAATGTTTGGAAACCTCCCATTTCTAGAAGACAGTGGAACAAGGCTAAGGGTTGAGGAGGAGGCTGTCCATGAACGCCAAGGTTCCTTTTTCTTTTAGAATGCTTATGATCTCCAGCTCCATCCAATTTGCTACAGGGTCCCTGATTTTGTTCTGGAGACTATCATACCAAGTGATCAATCACAGAAACAAAGAACTGAGTATTGCATGTTCTCACTCATAAGTGGGTCCTGAACAATGATCATATGAACACAAGGGAGAGATCACCGGTTGCTGGGCACTGCTAGGGGAGGAAGGGAGGGAGGAGGATCGGGGGAGCGCATGATAACACGAAGGGTACCAGGTCTACCACCAGGGAAAGGAGGGCCAGTTGGAAGCCCAAACTTCACCTGCATGCAGCCTACCTATGTGGTTAATCCTCACTTGTACCCCACATCTCTAGAATAATAATAAAAAAGAATGCTTATGATCTCTGATCCACTTGATTGGGGACACAGGTTACAGCAGTTTTCCTCGGAGGCTCTGTCAGATCAGACATCAGAGCAAGCCAGCCAGGGATGTAATTAACTGGATACACGAAGCCAGAAGAGGTATGGCAGGGATGCTGGGGAGGAAATCCCTCAGGATGGCTCCCTTAGAAGTGACTCTGAAAGGAAGGAAACCTCGGGACTGGAGTCTAATTTGGCACAAGTCCTTTCTTTTGAATCGGCCACCAGACCTGGCGCTGTGGTCAGTGTGAAGATGCAGGGGGACCCTTCGGGAAGTTTCTGATGCTATGAAGTGTGCCCTGGCATCCAGAGGACAGAGCAGTGAGCATCTGGCACAGGCCGGCACATGAGGACATGAGTAGAAAAGTTCCAGACCCAGTCAATTCATATGCAGAGTCGATTTTAACCAAAGCAGAAGGAAATAAGCTGTCTGGGATACTTGGTGCTTCATATTTTAATGAGGAACTTGTGGTAGTTTCTGTTGCAAAGATCAATGTGTTTATAAGAAATGTGTTTATAAATTGCAGGTAAATTTTGCAGGTTCAGAATGCCCTGGGCTTCACTCAGCTACCACAGCAGGTTAAGTATTCGACCGCTGACTCATGCTTTAAGACACAGCACATTAAACAAACAATCTGGTCATTTCTTGAGGACTATGTTGTACTTTAAAGTGGAAAACTCACCATTAGGTTTGTATGCTTGTTTGTTTTACTATTCTATGCTGAGAAGAAATGCTTCATGAACATTCAATATGTGGCAGTTTAGGAGCTTGTGCTCAATCATTCAAGTAGTGACTGAGTGTGTCCTGTGAACCGGGGCATATTCTAGGCACTGAGGATACAATAGTGGACAAAACACAAAACCCTTTCCCCCTCTAGGAGTTGCTTTTTAAATGTCGAGGTCTGTGCGCATGCCTGCCCACCACTGGGTATACATACTCACTCTTATAACTGGAAAGTTCTAGTCTTTTTCCAAGACTCAGTTCAAGCATTATTTCTTTAGGAATTCTAAACCTGTCTCCCAAAATGCTGAATTGGCCAACCCTTCTTTTGTGAACCACCACTGAGGCAGAATGGGGACCACCCTGACCCCTTTTTAGAGGGCCGCAGATCCCTAAGTATAGAAATGAAGGAATACTGTGAATTCCCTTCAAGGGAAATTCCAGGCACCTAGCTAGCCCTGAGAAGTAAATAAGCAACTTGATGGGAAGGTAATAGTAGCCTAAAACAATAACCAAAGGAGTTAGAGTCAGAAGATGTTTGGATCCCCTATAGAAACTAAAGATGGCATCTTAACATAGGTCCCTGAGTATTTTTCAGAAACCTGGACCCCACCGAATGGATTTGCTGGTACATAGACCTCAGATAAGAGGGAACTGAAAACCGAACTCGACAACATTCTTTGTTCTAAATCTCTTCCAGAGGAGCTGAAGGGAGTTGCACCCACCAGCCTGAGTCGGCATTCTTTTCTGCTGAGCCCAAATTCTTAAACAAAGCTTTTCTTCCTTAACCAATTGCAAATCAGAAAATCTTTGAATTACCTGTCATCTGTAAGTCCTCACTTCAAGATAGCTCGCCCTTTTAGGCCAAAACCAATATGCCACCTTCATGCACTGATTTATAATTTTGTCTGTAATTTCTTCTTCCTGGAATTTACCCCTACCTTTAAAAACCCTTGCC